AATTCAAGTTAATATTGCCCAGGTGCTGAGCTATTCAATACCACTTGTTCCTCCCAGAAGCCTCCAAGCTGCTGCTTTTCTGAAGCCCTTTTTTTTGGTAGTGCAAAGATGGGAATTCTGCTATCCCACTTGCTTCAGCTATTTAATAACCTGCCTACGTTTTTCCACACATCAAATAAATGAAGTGGAATACAAAATGAAACATCTGTTTCTTTCTCTGTTTGACATTAGAGGCTTAGACTCTAAACAAATACATTTAGGAAGTTTTTTTTAGGAATTTGTTAGGCTGAACACAGCTAATCAAGGCAGCAAAAATCTTGTGTATTTTCAGAATGACCCCTTTGTTTGACCTCAAAATTGTGTATATTATTTTAAGTTTCTGCACATGCAAAACCTAGATGATGAGAGTCCCAGTTTTCTTTCCTTCTCCCTTGTTCTCCTTTATTAAAACTCCTTAAAAAGAAAATGCATGTTTGGGAAACACAGCACAGAAAGGGTTCTGGAGGAATGTTTTTAACATAAATAAATGTTCCCCAGGCATCAGCAGCTGGAAGGTGTGAAACATCCCTGAGAGGGCACCAGCATTAAATTTGGATTAAGCATTAATCCACCAATTTCACCTCATTTCTGGTTGATTAATCCCCAATAAATCAGGTGGATCCATTGATCATTTTTTTGCTGAATACTGCAGTTAATAATGTATTAACCAAAAGTTCCAGCACTCAGCCTGCTATTTTTTCCCCCGCTTCATTTTCCCAACTGGCAGAAGATCAAGGCTTTAAAGACTAATGAATAGAAGTGGGAAAAATATTTCATTTCTTTTGGATGTATTGAATAGTTTAATAAAATAAGGGAAGATGGACATTCTAGTGACAGATAGAGGGAAGATAGAATTTCCCAAAGCAAGTTTTCTTTCAAGTATTCCCTGGATTTTTGGATACCTTATTCCAAAAATATAGCAGTACCATTATATTACTCTGTGATGCACAGCACAGTTTGGAATACAGTTGAATCCAGATGCAGAAGATACTTCTGGATGGAAAACAAATTAAATAGACAGAGAAGCATTCCCAGAGGCAAGACCACATTGGAAATGTGGGGGATTTTTTTCACTTTTACTGTCACAGCAACTCCATTCTCTAAAATAACTTCCCAGGATTCAGCTGTGTCTCCAGCTCTTGTTTTCTGAACTGTCAAGTGCCTGTCACACACTCCAAGCATTTTTAATCATCTTTTCCATTCAACTCTGCTGTCAGGAAAACCACACCCCTCTCTGGATCACAATTTCAAGAAAACCACACTCCTGTCTGGACCACAATTTCAGAACTAGACTCTTGTCTGGATAATAATTGCAGGAAAATGACACTCCTTTCTGGATCAGGATTTCAGGAAAATCACACTTCCCTCTGGATCACAATTTCAGAACTAGACTCTTGTCTGGATCACAATTTTAGGAAAACCACACTTCTCTGTGAATCACAATTTCAGAACTACACCCCTCTCTGGATCACAATTTCAGAAGAACCACACTCCTGTCTGGATCAAAATTTCTGAACTAGACTCTTCCCTCGATCACAATTTCATGAAAATGACACTTTTCTGGATCAAGACTTCAGAAAAATCACACTTCCCTCTGGATCACAATTTCAGAACTAGATTCCTCTCTGAATCGCAATTTTAGGAAAAACCACACTTCTCTGTGGATCACAATTTCAGAACTAGACTCCTCTCTGGATCATAATTTTAAGAAAACCACACTCCTGTCTGGATCATAATTTCAGGAAAACTCCACTTTGCTCTGGATCACAATTTCAGAAATAGACTCTTCTCTGGATCACAATTTCAGGAAAACAACACTCCTTTCTGGATCAGGATTTCAGGAAAACCACACTTCCCTCTGGATCACAATTTCAGAACTGGACATCTCTCTGGATCACAATTTCAGGA